TTAGGGTGAGGGTGTCCCAGTAATCGACTCCGAGGTACAAATCGAATTCTGGGAGTTGGTTCTTGCCGTCGTAGTTTCCGTACCAGAATGTGGCCCTGATCAGATACTTGCTGCCCTTCCCTAGGACGGCCGGAGGGTGTAGCAGTTTCTTGTTCCCTGGGGAAAACTACGGAGAGTTTTGAGCGGCTGAGATGCGGCGGAGGAGACGTGTCTCTGTGATGACTCCGGTGCCAATGAAGCCGGCATCGGAGACATAGTGTATTCCGGTGATGGCGTCGGTGTAGTTCGCATCTTGATGCAGTCCATAGTCTATACTTACAAAGCCTGATACAAAAAAATGAAACCCAGTAATTATTTAGGTAAAATAGATCGATAGATATCTGAAAAGATACAAATTTGAAACCTAACTGGTCATCCTGGGCATGAACTGCAACGAGGAACAGGGTGACAAGACCAGTTAGAAGAATATGAGCGAAGTCTATCGGCATTTCAATCGCCATTTTCGACGGAGGTGCCGATTACCCTCAACTTTAAAGGAATCGCCATGAATCCAACATGGAGAGTGGAGGAGAAAAAAGGTGAAATTCTTTTATTACCCTCAAATTTAACAGATGTTAGACCCAAACCTAACGGAGGACCATATTGGTTAACATTTACAAAGTTGAGGACTTTATTGAGTAAAAAAAATAGTCGAGGATCAAATTGGTAATTTCACAATAGTCAAGGGACCATTTTGGTAATTAACTCAGGAGCTAATTACCCCCACAATGCAACAAGTACAAATACTTTTTCTCAACCAAGATTTAGATCATATGTATAAATCCTCATTGCCCGTAAGCCAAAGAGATAAAGTTGTTCGCATGCTTCATGTCGAACAACATAAACACAACTTCGCATAATATTCTTTAAAAGAAATTAATCTCATATGAAAAGAATATGTTCAAACTGGTATTTGTTGGAGAATATATTTCAACAAGGTGAATTCAACAAGTATAACTTTAACATTCAAAATTATTCCACCTGCAGTATTTTTCCTTCACTTGAGGAAATTCAAAACTCATATAAGCATTCATATAATGCAGATCAACACTATTCTTACAGTACTTCAATAATTTATATTGCAAGGCTTTGATTGTTTAATAACATATGAAAGTCAACCTCATTTCGGATGAAGATCAAGTGGCGTTTCAACTAGCCTGCATGATCAACATCCTACTTCTTAAAAACTTCCAGGTCGAGTGGTGAAATTGAAGTTTACTTAAAAACCACATTTCTAGACAGAGTATTCAAGAATGATGACTTTTCCATGCTACCACCACAATGTGAATAAAGCATTTGAAATTAATCTCAGTACACAATTCAAATATGTAAGATCATGTGACTGTAAAATATATATGTATCTCATCAAACAGTACAATCTTTGCAATATATTCACAATGATACACATTAATGTTATAAATTCGACATGTGCATAAGTGCACAATTTATAAGCTTTAAATCAGATTGATGATTTAATCACTTAGCAGTAGTGTTAAATCAACACTTCTAACACAACAAAATCACAAAGCTCATACATGTGAATAATAACAATTCACTTATCTTTGTGTACACCACTATTATTTCTGTCTACAATATGTATCAATGTCACTAGCATTCAACACACTGCAATAATAAGTACTAATAGGCATTCAAAATTTAGACAACTCAACTAGTATTCAGTACTAAGAATAAGAGTTACTGAACATAACTACTTATTTAAGGAAATGCAATACTCATCTTGCTCTTTCAAATTGACTTCTACTAGTTTTGCCCTTGCGATGATAGCACTGGTATGCTCGGTGTCCTTGCTTACCGCACACGAAACAGCCTCCTTTGAGTTTCTTAACGTACTTTTCCACTCCTTTTGTTATAGTCATTTCTGATACTTTGATTTTCAGCATCATTAGCACCGTACTTTTCTGGCAGTGTTTCCCTAATAACTTTTGTCAAGTCTTGTTTGACATAGATGTCAAACAATTTGTCATTCATTTGTGACAGAAGGTATCATAAAGTTGAAAAATTGATTGTTGTTGTAAAATAACGCTTTTAACTGTTAGAAAAATATAAGCAACGTCAATGCGGGGGATGGCAACCTTTTAGGAAACAAGGACAAATACGGGTGTATGACTGTAAGGGAGTCTGTGCCATGTTATATAACACTACCTTAAAAGCGTTATTTGCCCAGTGACGGTGCAGTCGAGATAAACCGGTACGCTTTCGACAGGCAACACATAATAACCACGCTAAGCTTGCACCAACTTAAACGTAGCCGAACCTGACTATTGCTCAGACTCAGGGAGATAAAACGAATAGGAGTGAAAGGCTCTGTAGAAATTTCCGCATTTGAAAATGGAAGGGAAAGTTGCTTATATACTGATTAATATAACAGTTTCCCTTCCTCCTACCATAAGTTAAACGCAAAATAAGGGGAAGGGCTTTGAACGTGTGGACATGGGGAACAAACTGCATGACCACTACTAACAAGGGAAAGGTGGACCCAAATTGTAGCTTTTCCCGTTGAATGAATTTTCCAACATAGGCGTATGGAGAATGGAAACCTCTTCTGGTTTGAATGTAATGTATTTCTAACATACATATCATTAAATGTCCTTGTAGCTTTGACAAGATGCATTTTTAGAGTTGTAGCCTGTGGGTCATAAGTGCACTTGTACATGTCACAAAATATACTTGATAGTTTTACAAAATGCACGTTCACACATGTGCATGTGTTATTATTTGAATGCTTTCTTAACATTAGACAGTAATATTGTATATTTTTCGCACATTAGGTGTACAAAAGCTTGTAAACTGTTTAAAAAAAAAAAAAAAAAAAAAAAAAAAAAAAAAAAAAAGCTTGTAAACTAAATAAATGCAATTCACTTACGTAAAATGCTACTCCATTTTTAACAAACTGAAACCACTAATCTATGATTTACAAAATACCCACTTTTATAATTGAACAAGTCAAACCACTTGAACGGGTTAAATGCGTAAAAAAAAATCCCTAATTAGCCCCTACATACTACCTGCTGAAAATTTAATATTGAAGATCAAAAGGCAACCAGTATTGGGCAAGAATAGAAAAACGTGTTTTTTATCCATACGGATTTAATTCACTGGTTTAGTAGATCATATTTGAAAGACGAGATCAAGGTTCAAAATTTGAAACAGTAATATGAAGATTATGTTAAAGTGAGCAAATCTTTTATGAACATGAATATTTGATCATGTCTGTTGAACTACTAACTCATATGTGATTTATATCCTCTCACATATTCTCTCATATCAGAGGGTATAATCTTTAGAATTGGGAATTCACTTTTTGGATGAAGAAAAATATATTTGACCAGCTGTTTAATTTGCTAAGATAAACCGATGAAGGCAGAGAAAGTGTGAAGGTGTGAATTGTGCATATCGTAACTTTAGCTTTTATGAGCCCATTGTGTGCTCCCCTGTATTAAATATCGGTTTTCAAATTTGATAGCATACAAATTTTGAATATAATGTTTTCACATGTGGTCTTCCTCCTTAATTGACTACACATTTCTCTTGGCCGCCATTTATTGCTTTGGCGGTTCCTCGTCGTGTATGATCTGGCAAATGGGGACCGCGTTGATTAATTAGCTTACTAAACTAAACGCACCCATGGCCATGCTTTACATGGTATTTGGTTGGAAATGGAGAATTATATAGGAAAGGAATTGTAATTATATGAGAGATGAATTACTGAGAATAAAACAGGAATTTAAATTTCAGTGTTTGGTTTACAAAAATAAAATTATTGGAAATTTCAATTCCAATGTTTGGTATACATGAGAATTGAAAGGGAATAAGTAATATAAAGTTAAAAATGTCCACTGTTGTTATTAGACATTAATTTTAGATTAAAAAAGGAAGGGATAATTTTGACTCATCACTATCTTTTTTTCTTTCTAAAATCTCAAGGGGGACATGAGATTTTAATTCCATGAAAATGGAGGAATTGCAATTCCTTTCAACCAAACAAGAGAATTTTGTGACCTTTAGAATCAGGTGGGAATTAAGTGGGAAGAGAATTTAAATTCTCTTCAACTAAACGCCCGGTTAGTGTTAGCAAAAATTATCAGATTTAACTCTTTAGTAGATAATATTTAAAAGAAAAAAAAAATTAAAGTTTTCTTTTTTAGAGAAAAGATTAAAGTTTAAAATTTGATAATAACAATATGTGAATTGTGTCTAAAGCGTGCAGATTCTTTGTACAGATTTATTGTGTGCAATAACATTTGCCTTTATCTGCTGAGCTATTAAATTATTGTGATTACATCATCTCACGTGCATTTTATTATTTAATCTTTCTTTTTAGAATTAAAATAGGAGGAATATGTCTCGCGAGACTAGTTTAAGTGGTAATCACTTGACTTAAAATTACCACTCTGCAATAGGGTGAGGGTGTGACTCCTATTAAACATATTGGAGCTATGGCTCCCCAGGTTAGAGATTGGTCTTTTTAAGTTGACATAACCATAGGGATAGATGAGAGAGCTAGAATTCCCTAAGACAACAACAGTCTGTGTCAACAACGGTCAAAAAATGACGTCGTTTCGTATAATATTTTTTATTTTTTTTACGCGACTTGTAACAACATTGTTATAACTCATAATGCACATTACTTTAACTTATAAAGTACATTATTTTAACTCATAAAATATATTATCTTACCAAAAAAATGTCATTATTCTGACACATAAAATATATTATTCTAAGTTTTTAACACATAAAATATATTATTCTGTCCGAGGTGGACACGAAATTAGTCTAGCTTTAAAAAAAAAACATACAACCTGTATGTTCAACGTGATGTCAAATCAACCGATTAACAAATAATTATTGATTTTACTTGATTACTAAAAGTCTCAATTAAATTCAATAATTAGTACATAGTGATTAAATTAATACTGAAACGGTTTAAATAGCCATCCATCCAGCCATAATTCTCACAAGCCCGTACAGCTCACAAAGGCGCAGCCCATTCCGATCGAGAAGAGAGAGTCTAGTTTCTTCTACGCTAAGCTTAACATGGCTTCCACCAAAATGCTGGCGACGGCGATCGCGGCGCTAGCGGCGGTGCTAATGTTGACGGCCACCGCCACCGCCCAGTCCACCTCCTGCGCTTCCAACCTCGTCCCCTGCGCTGAGTACCTCAACTCCACCAAACCGCCCGCCTCCTGCTGCGACCCGCTCAAAGAAACCGTGACTAAAGAGCTCAGTTGCCTCTGCAACCTCTATAAGAACCCGGAAGTGTTGAAGTCCCTCGGAGTCAACATCACTCAGGCCCTTGAGCTTCCCAAGCACTGCGGTATAAGCAATGACGTCAGCGCCTGCGACAAAGGTAACGCTAAACACTTACGGAAATTTACTTACTCGCCCAGATTGTTTGTATCTGCCGCTTCGGTTACTTGATTTTTACGATCCCTGGCCCTGTGTGTTTAATTTTACTCGGATTTCTGTGATCCAGGCTTTAAAGTAAATGTTAGGTACACCGAAAGGAGATGATGATCGAAGGAAGATAGGGCTTCCATCGTTTTATGTTTTTTTTTTTTTTTTTTTTTTTTTTTTTTTTTTTTTTTAAATTAACTTAATGCGATAAAGATTTGCTAGATTTTCACATAATTTTGAACTTCTGTTTTCTGATCATGTATATACTAATGGTGATCGCAGTTTTTTTTTCTTTAATTTTTGTTGAATTTAATTGGAATTGAGTTGTTTGCTTACGAAATTGAAATGTCTGGTACAGCTTTGAGTCCAACCGCCGCTACTAATACCACTCCTCCATCAGTGCCGCAGCCGCCTCCAGGTAATTTTCGTTTTCTCTGACTTTTTTGGCTTCCCTTTTTGCCTATACTCCCCAACTTTTACTCCTTACTCTTAAAAATTTTTGGAGTGTGTTTGGTTGATGGGTTTTGCTCAGAGAAGAAATGGGTATGAAAGTGATTGTTATTGTTTGGTTGATAGGTTTTTAGAACACTACTATGAGTTTCGAATACCTTATTAATTAAAAAACACATACCCAAATAAAATAAGGGTTTCATTCCCATATTTCTTCTCAAGCATTACTATTAGTAAATACTTTCACCAAAACTCATTACCATTACAAGTATTTCATACCCATTCCGATTCTGATTCCAATTCCCATGTGTGAACCAAATACACCCTTGATGTAGACAACTTTTCTTGGAACTATACAATGAAAATGTTCTATTCATGTGTGCTATATTAAGGAGTATAATTTGAGAGTGAATTGCAATTTATTCTCTTGACTGTTGATAATGTCTGCCTGCAACTGGGGCTAGATGATATTGACATTTTAACTGACAAGTAATCCTTTTGCCATTAAATGTGTGTTTTTTTTTGTTTTTTGGCTAAGTTAGGATTCAGAGAATTCAGATGAGAACATGTTTTTCAGGTAATAAAATGAGGATTGAGTGATTGACCAAAGGGTTAAAGTTAATTTTATAAATATTGCGAATTTGAAAGTTTGGAATAATTATAAAATTGAATTGTTTTTTTTTTTTTTTAATTTAAACTAAAACCCGCTTGAGACCCGGTCCTCATTTTTTACCCAAGGGATTATGCTCATTTGAACCTACCATTATATATATATATATATATATATATATATATATATATATATATATATATATATATATATATATATATATATATATATATATGAAGTGTAGACATATTATGGTTGACTCAGTCTAGGCCTCTGGGGCGAGTCCAATTGTTCTATCTTGTGGTGCCACGAGAGTTGGCAACATACCTGATATTTTTGACTTGGTGTGATGTTGGAGAAGAAAATGTTTTGTATGTATTGTGTGATGTGGATTGGATGTCTTATTGGCAAAATAAGAATTTGGGTACTATGTATATTATAATAATTGTATAGTGTGTACTTGTGACTTTTCACAAGGAATTGTGTGTTATATGCAGTCTGCAGTCTTCCCTTATTTGCTTAGGATTTACTTTGTTCTGGTTTGATGATTAATCAAATTATTGTTGTTTGGAGGTAGAAGATATTCACCAAATAAAAAACGAAGAAAAAAAAAATCATCAGTAATAACTATGCACCCACTTGTGTGCCAAAATTTTCCAAATTTCCATCTCCATTTTACTGAAAACCGAGAACTTTCCATTTGGAGTCTTCTAAAAAAAAATAGTAAGTAATCAGCTATTGAAAACAGGGTGAACACATAGTATTTGGACTATTTCATGAATCAGAATATTGTACTATTTTACAGTAACACAGTCTCTGCCATGGTTTGGGATACTTGTCTTGCAATTTTGGGGAAGAATTCTAAATTTACTAATGAAAAGAGAATCAGATTTGGTATCATGAATCTAATTCCGAGTCTTAACACATATAGCCTTTTTGAAACAAAATAGACAGCACTCAAAATATTGAATTTCCCTGATTAGGCTAACATTTCAAGCCATGAGGGGTGTATGCTATAATTAGTGTTTAATTCTTGTAGTCTTCTCTGTTATAATTCCAATCCTCTTTTAACTTTGTTCCTTGGTTTGTATGAACTTATTATCCCTTGAAACTCTCCCTAGTTTGTGTTTTCTCCCAACTTCCCAAATGAAATGACCTTATCAAACAAATGGATAATGTGCAACTCTGTAGTATGAAGGCTACATTGCTGATGCCATATTGTTGTGACGCAAAATTTTGCAGCTACACCAAGTGGAGTAAGCAGGTTTGCATGGGCTGAAGTTTCCAGCTTGCTATTGCTCGGGGCGTCTATAATACTGTGGTAGATTCGGAGTTTTTGTGTTTAAACTGTTGCAGGTTTTCATGGAGGTAGTATTTCTGAGCAGCAGTTAGACCTCAGAGTGTTGTTTGCAGAACAGTGCAGTGTTGTACTTGTGAATTCTGATATGAATTTGGCATATATATAGACAGAATATCCTGTGATTGTTGAAATATTCTTTTAGCTGAAAATAAAGCTTATAACTTCAAAAATTTTCCCAATCACTATTTGGAAGTGTCGGAATCGATGAGTTTGGAGTGCATTATGTAGTAAAGAAATGGAATTAATTAACTGGGTCTGGGGGCCTAACTAAGTCCAATTAATTAAGGATGAATGATGTAAAGATAATAATGGTTGAGAGACAAAGGTATCTTGTACTCCTGTATTGTATTGCTTATGTAATAAGAGTACACGAGATGTATTAATGAAGACAAATCGTGTTCTAGATGAGGACAAAGATATTACTAGGGGCTCTCAAGAATCTCTATTTCCCCTGTGTCCCCTTACAGGGAATATGTCATTCTTAAGAACACATTGTTCAAGGGAATATGTCATTCTTAAGAACACATTGTTCATGGGAATAGATATTTTCACCAAACAAAGGAATAAGTCTATTACTAAGAATGATATTTCATTTTAGGCTTATTTCGTGAACCAAACGTGCCATTATAGTTGGCTTCTCTTTGCAACTACTTCACATGATCGGGTGCTTTCTGCTCTGGGTGGGAGGTTAGGGTCCCGTTTGACCGCATTACCCCATTGTTTATCACTACTAGCATTGTTATTGAAGTCCCTCAAAAGCGCCCACGGGTTATTGGAGATTTGGAGGAGTCTCAATAAGTCTTACAGTCCTTCTAGAATATGTCTTTAGCCCTACGATTGGGCCTCACGTAGGCAAAGGAAACTCAAATCATATGTCCGTATGTCCCCTTAACTACGCAATGGATCACCTGAGAAGAATAGCCCATTAGCTCCAAGTTAACGCTGTCCTTATTCCACAACAAGAGTAGTCCGTCTGCTGCAATTTATATCGTGCACCAGGGCGCACAATGCACTGTGCGCTTTGGTGCAAAACGACGTCGTTTTGTTTTGCCCCAAATAACAGGGTTTTTTTTGCCATTAGGATTCTGTTTCTTCCGTTAACGTCTAAAAGAAAAATTACTTGGTCATTATTTGTTTTTCTCCGCGTTATTCATCGTGGCAGTTTCTCTATCGAGCTCATCGTCGCGATTTGATTTCCTATACATGAATGGGGTGATTGCGCTTAGGTGGGAGTGACAGACGAATGCAATGATCCGGTTGAATTGGCAGTTACAAAGGATGCTGCTCCTGGTTTTTTATATTTGATTTTTCGCTTGTTTTATATTTTCGTTGTTGATGCATATGATTTAATTCGTATTGGATGTGCGTATTTTCAATTTAGTTTGATTGTGTTTGTATTGGAGGGGCGTATTTTCAATTTAGTTTCTGGCAATATATGTTTTTTTCAATCTAGTGTTGTTATTATGTGCATTATGGTTATGATTATGTATAATCATAACCATAATGCACATAATAACAACACTAGATTGAAAAACACATATATTGCCAGAAACTAAATTGAAAATACGCCCCTCCAATACAAACACAATCAAACTAGTTTGTATCTACCTCAGTAACAGATGTTCCTTATGTTTAGCGTTATGTGTTTTATGGGTAGAGATTATGTGTATTCTAGTATAAGATTCTGTACATTATGCATTTACATCTATGTACATTATTCTGATATAAGATTATGTACATTAAGATGTTCCTTATAACTCATCATACATGACATATGTTCCTTATGCTGAGGATTATGTGTATTATGAGTAGAGATTATGTGTATTCTGGTATAGGATTTTGTGCATTCATCTTAGGGGTACTTAAACTTTATGTGATTTGCAGCTGATCAGAATTTGGTAGGGATGTCAGTGAGTTTGGTTGATGAAGCATATGACATGTATAATGAGTATGCTTTTAATTAGATTAGGTTTTAGTGTGAGGAAGGGTAAGCAAAGATATAGTAGTGCTACAAAAACATTGAAGACGAAGACGTTTCATTGCTTGAAGGCTGGATTTAAAAGGAATTTAGGAAAGGGTTGTTATTCTAAAGTTGATGGTCGAACAGGTTGCCCTGCACTTGTTCAATTTGATGTAGATGGGAATGGGACGTGAACTGCTTCAAAGCATGAGAAGTTGCGTAATCATTATTTGGTTCCACCGAGCAAGAGTTACCTTCTACGGTCACATAGAATGGTGTATAGGAATCATCTTTCTTATCTAAAGGATTTGAAGGAGAGTGATGTTTCTATGGCAGATGGTATAAGGTTTATTAAAACACAATCGCAGGGATTACCACTTGTTGGTTTTACAAGTAGGGATGCAAACAACTCTTTATGTACTGATGCATTGAACAAATTGGATGTGACTGACTCAAACACATTAATTGAAATATTTAGATGAAGGCAGTCAAGTGAAAATGATTTTTACTTTGATTTTGAAGTTGATTGTGAGGTAAGATTGTCTAGTTTTTTTTGGAGGGATGGACAAATGAGGCGAGATTATGAATTGTTTGGAGATTTGTTAGTTCATGATACAACATATCGTACTAACAAATATGATATGATTTGTGGTCCGTTTGTTGGCATGAATCACCATTGCATGAATGTCATGTTTGGATGCGAGTTTTTGATGAATGAGAAGATTGAGTCGTTTGTATGGTTGTTTAACTCATTTTTGAGATCTATGGATTACAAAAGGCCACAAAGTATAATGACTGATCAATGCGCTGCTATGACTTCTGCTATTGTTCAAGTTTTTCCAAGTTCACGGCATCGGTTATGTATATGGCACATTGGTGAGAATTCAAAGAAGCATATTAAAGGATTAAGAAATCAAAATTGTTTTTTTAGATATATTCAATTGCTTGCTGAAATGTACTGATACAGAGGCAGAGTTTGAGTTTTACTGGACACTCTGTTGCCATAATTTGTGCCATTGCCATTTGCAATGGCACACATTATTTTTTGTTTTATTGTTAATAATTGTGATTTTATTTTCTATAAATAGCACATTCATAATTTTTTAACACTTTTCATTCTACTCCCAATTTCTATATTTCTCTCAATTTGCATACAACAATGGAAGGAAACAATTCAAATAATCAAAATTCCCACTCTTCTTCTCAATGCATGCAACTCTTCTTCTTCCCAACCATCCACACAAAATTTTGGTTACACACCAAATTGTCAATTTTTTCCACAAGTCCAAAATTCTCAAATTCCACCCAATTTTCAATTTCCACAATTTGCACAAGCTTCGCAATTTCCATTCAACTTTCAAAGTAGCTAAATTCCGGGCAACATAGAAACTGTCCAATTTCCCGGCAACATGTAATTTTCTCAATTTGCATCATTTTCTACACAACCCGAGAATGATGTAACGATAATTCTATCACCGACAAGCACAAGAAGTAGTCGTCGATAACCATGGAGCATTGAAGATGACAAGATGTTGGCACGCGCTTACTACACAATTGGACAATATGGCAATGAACAAAGTGGTCCAACATTTTGGAAGCGTATTGAAAAATATTACAATGACAATCACCCCAATGGTGGGCCAAGAAGAAATGTCGAAAGGTTAAAGTCCCATTGGATTCTAATTAAGAGATTAACCATGGACTTTCACCACATTTATTGTAAGTTATGAGCAATGCATATTAGTGGTGCTAGCGATACGGATATTATAGTTCGTGCAACGGAAGAGTACATGCAAAAGCATAACCGAGACAAGTTTGGTTACGAACATGTATGGGGTATTTGCAAAGACCTTCCAAGTTGGCAACTATCGGTTATTGCTACTCAACTCTCATTGAGCAGATCATCCAATAATCAAACATCAAGCGGGAGTGCAGAAGGCAGTGAAAGTGGTAGTGAAGAAGTTTATCCTCGACCAATGGGGAAAAAAACAGCGAAGCGAAAGGCTAAAGAACACTACATCGACACCGTAGATGAAGATGATCTAAGTAGAGCGTTATAAAAATAAGCACAAATGTTTGAAAATTTTTACAAAAGTAAGGAGCACCAAATTCGGCTACATGAATATCATATATTGGTACAAAACACATTGGGGATGACGGAGGAGCAACTTGCAGTGCACATGGAAGCGATCAATGGAATTATGCAATGTAGGCAAAATGCAACTCCACCATAGATTTTTATTAATTTTGTTTTAAATGTAGTAGGTTCACTACAAAAAAAAAAAAAAAAACGAAAATAGTGACGGACCGTTTCCGTCGCTAAATAAGAAATCGTCGCTAAAATATTAAAAAATTTTGTTTGAAACTTTAGTGACGGACGTATAAATCCGTTGCTAGACTATTAGAAAAAAAATCGTGCTATATATCTCTAGCGACGGACGTATGAATCTGTCGCTAGACTGTTAGAAAAAAAATCACACTATATAAATCTAGCGACGGGGGATCATCAAATTCGTCGCTAAAATGTAACATGAACATATTTCACTTGAAAATTTAGCGACGGATATATAAATCCGTCGCTAATCTGTAACAATTAAAATAATAAAATTAGTCCGCGAAAAATCCGTCGCAAATTTGTCTTTAATTTTTGCGCAAAAATTTACCGCTAAAATTAGCTACGTATTTAATGACGGAAATATTCCGTCGCAATATCCATAGCAAATCCGTCGCTAGATATCCATTTAACAAAAAAGTGAAAATTTGTCTCTATTCCGTCGTTATATTAGCAATGGAATATTTCTGTCGTTATTTTCGCGTTTTTTTTTTTTTTTTTTTTTTTTTTGTAGTGGTTATTGAATTAAAATTTCCGTATTTGTAGTTTTAAATTCTTGTCATTTTAATTATTGTAATGTAGTTTTAATTTTAATGTAGTTTCCGTATTGCTAATTGTATTTGTAGTTTTAATTTTAATGTTATTTATTGTAGTTTTATTTTTAATGTTAAAATGTTAATATTAATGTTAATTTGAGTTATTATTAATTTTAATGTTAATTATTGTAGTTTTAATTTTAAACAATGAAAGAATGAGATTCAACGTTACTAGTGGACAGCAACTATCCGTTGATCTCATTCTTTCTTTGTTTAAAGGTTGCAGCAACTATGTTGCCAGTGGACAACAACTATCCGTTGCTGCAACGGATAGTTGCTGCAACGTCAGCATAGTTTTTTTTTGTTTTTTGTTTTTTTTGTTTTTTAAGTTTGCCTATATATATATGTGTGTATATGTTAGCCTACTTCTTCACATAAATATCTCTCTCATATTACTTAAATTCTTACTACCAAAATGTCATCACTCCCTCCTAATTGGAATAGCATGGATGATGCTATTGATGATGAAATTACAGAACAATTGATGGCAAATATGTTATGGTTGAGTAAAATGCTAGTTGATAAACGTCAAAGTTCTTCCCAACCGAGAAAGAAAAGAAGATATATCCATAGGGATCATGAGTCAGGCCACAATTGTTTAGTCGCGGATTACTTCTCCGATGATCCCGTGTTTCTTGAAGACATCTTTCGTCGACGTTTTCGAATGAGGAAAGAATTATTTTTACGCATAGTCAATGCATTGCAAAGTCGTTACGAATATTCTCAACAAAGACAAAGCGCTGCTAATGTGTTGGGTTTATCACCGCTACAAAAAATCACCACAGCCATTCGACAATTGGCATATGGTGCACCATCGGACGCAATGGATGAGTATCTACACATGGATGAAACAACGCCGTAGAATGCTTATTTAACTTCGATGTGTCATTGATGTTTTTAGAGGTTAATACTTGAAAAGACCAAATGCAGAAGACATTGCTGGATTGCTTCACATGCATGAACAAAAACACGCCTTCCAGGGGATGTTAGGGAGTCTTGATTGCATGCATTGGGAGTGGCGAAATTGTCCAGTAGCATGGAAATGTCAATTTACACGAGGTGATCATGGAGTTCCAACCATTATGCTAGAAGCGGTCGCATCAACAGACTTATGGATATGGCATGCATTCTTCGGCGTCGCAGGGGCTATGAATGATACAATGTATTAAATCAATTGCCTTTATTCAATGATGTCTTGCAGGGATTTTCACCGGAGGTTAATTTTATTGCAAATGGTACAGAGTACAAAAGAGGTTACTATCTGACAGACGGTATCTACCCACAATGGTCGATGTTCGTGAAGAGTTTTCCATGTCCAGCATATCCCAAAAGAATATTGTTTTCACAAAAACAAGCAAGAGGCAGCAAGAAAAGATGTTGAGTGGGCTTTTGGCGTGTAACAAGCTCGATGGGCAATGGTTAGAGGTCCTGGAATATTTTGGTATTGGGAAAACTTGAGAGAAATAAAGTATACTTGCATTATTTTACACAACATGATTGTTGAGGATGAACGTGACAACGTAAGTAGTTAGGTGGACGACGAAAATGTAAGAGCGGCACAAACATCACAAGGCTCAACCGAAGAGTTTCAACGATATTCACAATGAAATTACGAGTTACATGACTCGCAATTGCATCATCAACTTTGCGCAGATTTGGTTGAGCATATATGGAACAACAACGGCAATTAATTTAACCGCTTTGTATTTTAATTTTTTATGCGTTTGAATTTATTTTTAAGCGCTTTGTAGTTTAATCTTTAAGCAATTAGTTGTTTAATTTTCATTTTATAATTATCGTATTAATTAATTAGGCTTACTATGTTTATTTTAATTATAAGTTCGGAAATGAAAGCTTGCAATTTTTACGTATGTTCATTTACGTATGCAATTCATTTATGTTTATTATAAAATTATAAATTTATAAATTAAATAAATAAAGAAATACTCCCTCTATCCCGAAATGCTTGTCTTACTTTGTTTTGCCACGCATTTTAAAGCAAGTAGACTCTCTTTCCTGGCTTTCCATTTATGCCCTTCCCTAGTCCTCTGTAGCAGTTTGAATAGTTTGCTAGAGTACATTTCTTCTTCATTTTTCTCCATCTCATTTTAGAACTTTTCAACGAATACTCCATAACTTCTATGTATTCTATTCTTCTTTAATACACCCAATAATCATTAAAAAAAAATACACAAACTTGTTTCTTCTAAAAATAATCGGATCTACATTTGAGTATAAGAATGATAAAAAGACCAGAGAAAAAAATTATAGAGTAGTGATGTTTATAGATTTGAAAGATATAAATTAAAGGATTACAACCATCAATGAGTTGAAGATCCTTTTTGCAAAATGGAAATGAAGAGAACTGAAGGTTTCGAGTCGCTGCTGAGGAAGAGAGTAAAGCCAGATCAGAGCTAAGCCTTCCGCCGCGGCAGCGTTATTTCCACTGTCTATTCTCTGGAGATTAGATAGCTTGTTCTATCTCCAACGCCAAGTTCATCTATGCTTTCGTGCTGCACAGAGTATCTGTTTCCGCTAGTAGGAGCTACACGGTGGCGGAGTCTGTTTCCGGCGAAGCTAGGAGGAGCAACGCCATGCTTAAGAAAGGAGGAGATGAATCGGGAAGAGCGCAACCACCTCATAGATTCCAGATCCCATTACCGGAATCCACTAATATGATGTTTAGCTATCTAGCAGCCCTGCCCAGACATATACTGGTTCTAGGAACAAATAGAGGAATTAATTTGTGTTTCTTTTTCATTAAAAAAAAAAAAAAAGAAGAGAGAACTAAAGAGAACTGGAAAAAAAAAAAAAGAGAAATGAAGAAAACTGGGAAATACAATATGTTCAAAGTGGAAATGAAGAAACCCAGAATGAGAAATGTAGAGATATATTCTTCAGATGAAACCAGGATGAGTAATGTAGAGATATGTTCTTCATTTTTTTTTAATTAGGCACGACTTTTGAGGATATTTGAGTGGATGAGAGTTGTTTGCCTTAATGTGTATCAGTGTAGTTGTAATTTAAGTTCAAAGGGTAAAATAGAAAAAATAGAAATGTAATTATGTTCATTTTTGGAAATTGGACAATATTTTGGGACGGATGAAAAAAGAAAGGAAGACAGATAAAATGAGACGGAGGGAGTAATTAAAATATGGAGATAAAATGGTGCATCCAGAAAAGGTTGTGAAAAAAAAACTTAAAACTAATGAGAAGAAGAGATTTTGTGATTGAGTGAGATAGTGGATGATGGGGCCCACAAAAATCTGGGGAAAAATCCCTAACTATTGAAGATGCCCTTATGAATTTCACTATCATCCCTCTTACTACATTCAACTATATAATTTATTTTTTATTTTTGGCAGTCAAATGTTGTTTAATTCAGACAGTATGTTTGGAGTTAATGCCATTTTTGGTCCTAGACTTATTGGGGCATTAACACTTTTCATCCTTCATAATAAAAATTGCCATTTAGTAGCCACTGTTATTGATCGTTGGACACTTTTGATCCTCCGTCAGTCAATCCGTCTCTTGACCGTCTAATTGAAGGGCAAATCTGTCTTTTTATCTGACTTTTGAAGTGATATGCTACTGAGACAGCTTTCCATCTATTTTTTATTTAGTCCAAATATTGAATAATCATGTGATCGAATTCATCATCTAAGAACAAGACATTTTGCTAGAAAGTATTCTTCTTAGGTTCAGTAAATTGTGATTAGCTATATATATATTAGGGAAGATATGTGTGAATGTCAAATGAGAAGGGGCTCACAGCGAGAAGAAATGACAGCAAGCACACTGGATCTCCGCCAACAGGGCTGAACCCAGAAATCCGAAATCGAAACGGATGTCAACTGTGAGACACCCTGGGCAGCCTATCCTCCACAAAATTCATGTCCGTCAAGTACAAATCCTCCTCGTCTTCCACAACATCATACGACGCCGTGCGGAGCGACTTCTCGACGCCGATGGATACGGACTTGACGATTCGCAATTCGGAAAGGAGTCGGCGGAAGATCTGTTTGAAGGGAGTGACAGAGGAGTGGGTGAGGGGGGGAGCGGTACTTGGCGTAGCGGTCTTGTTCTCGGTAGCCGCTTATGTAAGTAAACATGATAACATGCACTTTTTTTTAAACAACACATTATATAACAAACAACAATTTCTTTGACAGATGCTACTAGACAAATTGGAATTGAGGGCAGTACCTATTGATATGAGTGGTGCACAGATTGTAAGTATAAAATATATGTACCCTAAGTATGTTGATGTTTCTTAGACTTGTTTTTTATGTGTATTCAGATAGTCGTTTATGTGTATTATATTATAAAATTCTGTACACTTTGAAATTCAAACCCATATGTAACACTGCACTTTTCTTAACTCTAATTCACAAATACTTAACTTCAAAAGATAGACTAAACAAGATTAAGATAGGATTAATACCTTAAAAACCATCCCAAAAGGGTGTCACCCCACACGGTGACTGCACATGCTAAGATAGGTACTATCTAGAGTCAAACTCAACCAAAAACTACAAAGTATCTAAACATAAGAGTTTTAAACAACCACAACTAGAACAAAGTCTAAACTAGCGTCTAACATCTCAAAGCTACGCGCTAATATATCTCGAGCGCGCTCAAACACTTGGCCCACCTGAAAGAGGTTAACAAAACAAGCAAGTAAAAAACAACCCGTTAGCACGAATGCTAAGTATAACGCCACTCAACCCTGTAAAGTACTATAGATATAGATTTGAAAATCATTTGACAAATACTCCTAAGCTCAAGTACTTTCAATCACTTAACAACAACTCAAATCATACTCAACAATAGTTCTATATGCTTGCATCCTAATCAACAAATAGGCATGCTTCCTCAAGTACTCAATTTAACATAAATCTCATGCTTTAAATAGATATTTCAAATCATAGCTCAATACTAAAACTTATGCTCAAACTGATAGATAAAGAGAAACTAAGTAACTCAACAAGCAATCTCATGCTAACGACAGATAGCCAACTATAGTCAATTAAGCTTTACTCATAGTCACACTAATAGATAAAGAAATAAATGATATTAACAATTAAGCTCATGCTCTCATGCCAACTCTTAAACAACAATAAAGCTTCACTTCTCAAAACGTGCTAAAAGCAACTCATGCTAAGTCATAATCAACAATAAAGTGCTATACATCTCATCATTCTTTAATGCTCAACATGCAAAACATGTAAATCATGCAACAAGATAATCATGCTGCTTTATATATATATATATATATATATATATATATATATATATATATATATATATATATATATTGATGGAGATATGGGACCCTAGGGGGTCCATTTTATTGGGAAAGTATTGGCCCAAGTGGGGGTGGTGAAAGAAGGAGGTTGACCCAAGTCTTGTTGGGCTAGGAAGACAAGCACACATGGTGGGCCGGGGTGAAGAGCATTGACTGGAAGGGGGGGAGGTAGGTATGGCGTGAGGGGGGAGGTAGGTGCGGGGGGTAGGTACGACGTGAGGGGGGAGGTAGGTATGGCGTGAGGGGGGAGGGAGGTAGGTACGGCATGAGGGGGGGGGGAGGTAGGTACGGCGTGAAGGGGGAGGAGGTAGGTGCGGGAGGTAGGTACGGCGTGAGCGGGGAGGTAGGGGGAGGTAGGTACGGCATGAAGGGGGGGGGGGGGGGGAGGTATGTACGGCGTGAGGTGGGAGGTAGGTATGGCGCGAGGGGTGGAGGTAGGTGCGGCGTGCATGGTGGAGGATGTTAGTCAGCGTGCGCGGTGTGGATGCGGAAGTCGCGGGGATAGCGGCGACGTGACATGCATAGCGACAAACAAGCTGAGTGTGGGAGGAACA